TAGTCTACTACGAAGCGAGGACACAGTTGAATTTCGTTTGTCACCCTCGAACGATCAACTGGTAACCAGAGTCTGCCTCTACTGCCACTTGATCTTCTTCGAGAGCGGTTTCCGTTCTACGCTGGTTCAACGCCTATACCGAGTTTTCCTTTTTAAATAAAAGTAAGTGGCAAATTATCAAATTTCTAAGGTTTCTTTCTTCCTATCAAGTGTTTTTTGCGCGAACGCCATTACTCACCATAGTATTGGTACCCGTCGGTCACCGGGAATATTAATTTAGCCACGTGTATACCATTGCTCTCCGCGGTAGTAATAACCATCCAAATAACAAGGACCGATCGGATTGAAGCAAATACTCACAACAATATTAATGCATCAAAGTCAGATCGCAAATTAAACCTATCTCTTCCCCACGTAAAGCCGAGAAACGACTCTCTTACTCGTGACGGTACTGACAGTTTTAGATCGCGAAAGGGATACCCTTCGATACGCCGCTCCTGGTAAAATCGACCAACCTTAAGCGAGCCGCGAGCAAGTGCATCGGAATATTGCACAGCAGTCGGTCTTAGTCGCGTGAAAGTAGTCGTAGCCCCTTTGCAAGTACTGCGTCGTTAAGTTGAACTACCCCTTCAGCACCGCGTCCTACCTACGCGCCCAGCGTGAGTCCCGAGTTATTAAGCGAAAGCTTAGACTCAAATGATACGTTGCACCGACGTAAAAATAACATGCAATACTTTAAAATTTCTTGAGATCATTGTAGTTTATAATACTTGAAATGTACTATTCATTTGAGTCAGATTTAGCTAAATCTGATTTTAAAATATTAAGAGTTTCCATAAAAGAAATCTTAAGAAATAGCATTAATGGTTCACAAATGAACAATAATATTGATAGGGTTAAAAAGCTTGGGTTAATCGGTAAGGGGATTCAAGTACTAACGTCATTGGGAAGATACGTTTACTTGTTGCAAAAATATTGGCTTTTACTGAAATTTTGATTTAAATTTTGCTGGAGCATATGTTAATTTATTCTTGTTAATATGTATTTTATTTTAGTAAACTTTGTATATAATAAATGTGTTATTTGTCTCGGTAACAAAAAATTAATTGAGGAAGCATGTTTTAATTTTATAAGTAATAGTTCAACAATATGTATGTATGTGGGTCATTTTACAAAAACTGAGATATTTCTACACCTTAATTGAGATGTTGTAAATTAAATATTTGGTATTTTTTAATTATATTTCCCAAGTTATATAATGTTTAAACCAGTCGATAACTTTTGGGCCCCACTCTACGATCATTTATGAAAATTCCATCATAACTTAAACGCATTTTTTTTTTTTATTTAAAATGAGTGACTTATCTGTCACTACCGAGCGGTTCTTTTTTGGCGATTGAGAAACCCCAGGGTGAAATTTTTCTACAAAATTTCGTTTGTCACATCTGCACTATACCTCTTCGTACACTAGCCATCCAATTGATGATTTCAAATCCCTCGAAGATTAGGGGGCTTATGGTAATGACCGCTTATTTTACGGGGAAAAACGCTCTATATTCGCGACGATACTACAAATGAAAATTCGAGGCATCAAAAAACTGACAGTGTTCATGCACACTCTAGATTACAAAACGGTTAATTCTAAGTGTCTGAAAATCAATCACTTAGCCAACATTTGTGGTGCGCAATTCAGAAGTATTATCACAAGTAGGCTTCAAAAATAAAATTTCCTTAACTTAAAAACAAAATCTTTTTTTGGTTCTTAACTACGAGATAAGGTGCTTAACACCTCCAACTCTTGGATAGTACATCGTAAAAAAATTAAAAAATCAACACCGGAAGCCGCAAACTTAACTTGAGAGAAAACCCGAAGAAAAGTATGAAACATTAATCTGGCTTGCCTCGCAAAATCTCTCAATTTTTACAATTATAATTTTACGGTACTTTTCTGGCAATTTCTTGATCTTATACTTTGGTTTTATTAAAATAACTATATTTATTGAAACATTTACCGTCGTACAGCGTTGATTTTTTAGATGCCCTTACGGCACCCTACACGGAGAGAACTCTGGTACTACGGTAGTGTGTATTCGCTCTGAGCCGATGCAGAGGTTGCGCCCCCTCTAGCCAAAATCAGGCAAAATTTCTTGCATGTAAACAAACGGCTTAGAGCATATATACATGCGTACAGCTGCTTGTGATTGGCACTTGGCAGGCTAGAGAGAGAACGACGATCCTCTCCTGCTGTCTTATTCAGCCAATCACAAGCAGCTATACGCATGTATATATGTTCTAAACCGTTTGTTTACATGCAAGAAATGTTGCCTGATTTTGGCTAGAGGGGGCGCAACCTCTGTATCGGCTCGGAGCGAATAGCCGCGTGCAACAGTAATATAGTGCGTCGTATACGACTGTAGCGCCCGCGCGCCACAACGAAAGTATATGGCTTCTGCTACCGTAGTATACAGACCTCCGTGCAACTGTAGTACGTGAACTATACTACCGTTGCTTCTGCCTTATACTACAGTTGCAACGCTGATATACTGAATTGGTATATTACCCCGCTTACCAACTGTGCTCGGGAGCCACACCAAATCGGTATTGACCCCAAGCAAATGTACACACACACACACACACACACACTTAAGTGTATATATATATGTATATGTACGTCGTTTGATGCGGCGGCGGCGGCGGCGCTGTACTATACATATATATCAATAACCTCGTGTTTGCCGCTCGTTGGGATATATATATATATATATATGCAACAAACAATATAATATTTTCTCGAGCTTCATACAGCATAGCATACTACTATACACCGGATGGGATCTAATAAACGCATTTATATGCGATGCTGAAAATAATAAATACAATAGGTAATTTTATCCGAAATGAAATAGTAATTAACTACACATTTATCGTTTTCAACAGCTCTACGCGTTCTAAAATAGCCCTCAATAGTATATTACAAAAATAAGGTTCATGCTGATAGCCTCTGTGTCGCAAAAAAGGACTCGTATTGTATTAGGCAAACGAATAAAAGATAATCATAATGAAAAACATGTATTTTAACAATAAATCATTTGAAAATTATTTTTATTTACAAATAGCAATGTATATATTTCAACTATTTATTTTTGTCAATTACAATGAAATTAATCTCGTACAAATAGCAGTACGTATTTTGCAATCATTTGTTTTCGTCAATTACAATCTAATGAATCTCATACAAATAGCAACGTGTATTTTTCAACAAGTTGTTTTCGTCATCGAATCTTATACCGTATAAGTACTTATAATCACTGTAAGGTAACTAAAAAAATTCTGTAATTGTTTCATTACAAGCCTAATATTTAAATCAATTAAAAGTTCGAGCTTACAGATATTATATACGCATAAGAATATATATAAAAAAGTATACATATGTATATACATATACATTCCAACGAGCGGAAAACACGAGGTTATAGATATATATGTATAGTGCAGCGCCGCCGCCGCCGCCACCACCGCTACATCAAACGACGTACATATACATATATATACACTTGTGTGTGTGTGTGTGTGTGTGTGTGCGCACACATTTGCTTGGGGTCAATACCGATTTGGTATGGCTCCCGAGCAAAGTTAATAAGCGGGGTAATATACCAATTCAGTATATCAGCGTTGCAACTGTAGTATAAGGCAGAAGCAACGGTAGNATATATATATACATATACATTCCAACGAGCGGCAAACACGAGGTTATTGATATATATGTATAGTGCAGCGCCGCCGCCGCCGCCGCATCAAACGACGTACATATACATATATACACTTATATATGTGTGTGTGTGTGTGTGCACACATTTTCTTGGGGTCAATACCGATTTGGTATGGCTCCCGAGCAAAGTTGGTAAGCGGGGTAATATACCAATTCAGTATATCAGCGTTGCAACTGTAGTATAAGGCAGAAGCAACGGTAGTATAGTTCACGCACTACAGTTGCACGGAGGCCTGTATACTACGGTAGCAGAAGCCATTTACTTTCGTTGTGGCGCGCGGGCGCTACAGTCGTATACGACGCACTATACTACTGTTGCACGCGGCTATACATACTACCGTAGTACCAGAGTTCTCTCCGTGTACCCTAGGTATGATACCAACCGCCCAAGCCACCTTAAACTCCTTTTCCAATGTTACAGAATCGAAGCTGCTGCTCTTCAATTTGTCCATATAAACGTTTTTTTTCATTGTAATCAAGCATTGAGCATTTGTGAAAGTTACTAAGGCTTTTTTGTATCATGAAACTTTTCTTTTTCTTACTAACAATGATTTCCATTGGACTTGGACGTTACTCTCATGGGGTAGAAGCTTAACGGTTAGTTTCGTTATTTTACATGGAAACAGTGTTAATTAATAAATAAAAAATTATCATAGCAGCTCAGAAGGCAAGGACAGTAACTCTGCATAACATACGGAATGCCCTATCAAGAGCAGTCAACCCAGAAAAAGGCATTGTGGAAACAGACGTGAGACTATCTTCAGACATGTTTATCAACATTGCATCAGTTTCTTTAATTCAATAACTGAGTAAACTGTAATCAGACTCACTCTGGACAATAATATACATCTACATTGTACATCAAACATCAAATAGGTTTTTAAATCGTCATTATTGTAACTGTTAAGTATCTGATGTCCACATGTTTACTGTACTTAGTCAAATTCGTTTATGTAAATCCATGCTACAATTGCATAAACATCTTTTGCATGCATGTATGCATAACCACTTGGTCTGCTCTGTTACTAATATACATTTTTTCGATTGTTTGGATATTTCCAACCAAAGTGAACTTAATCAGGTAGATATAACAATGAAACGTTGCTTATCAGCAATCTGTAGAGTTTCAATTACTTCCTTACTATTTGTTACTAGTTCTCAATGGATTGCAATCCATGGGAATGTTTAATTATGTATAAAGAGTACTATGATAAACAATATATGTTATTACCTGTGCAATGTGAAAAGACACCAAGCGTTTGATTAATTACAGTTGTGACATCCAGCTTATGTTGTTTTGGAACATCATGCTCTCCAGGTTCTTTAAGTGCCATAACAGTTTCTGAAAGTCTCAGTGTGACTTCTGCTTTTTGCTTGAAATGTCTAATGAAAGAAGTTGAAGGGATAAAAGCATAAAAACATCCGTATAAATTATTTAATAAATACAAAGCATTAGTTAAAATTATCTAAACGTTGAAAAATACTAAACAAGTATTATGAAAACAAAAACTAATGGTAAACATACAGAACTTAAAATGCATAAGTTGGGTTGTATTATACGTGATAATAAAGACTATTACAATATACAATGTTTCCAGCCTCAAAAAATGTATCCCTGTGTCCATTCTCACCTAATCCACGTCAAAACGTAGATAAAAGTAGAGCTACATTCACGTTTACGTGAATGTAAGGCTTATAACATCCAGAAAAATATAGAATGATACTATCCACATACAACTCTCCGTCTTATTTGTACTTTGTAATGTCCACGTATGTATGTGGATTTGGTGCGAATAGACCAAGCAAAAATATAAATTGCAAAATGTAATAGCGATGATTGAAATTATCACAAAATCTAAGAGAAGCAATATTTATGAAGATTAAACGTACACTTAAATATTGCTAGGTAATGAGTATATTTACATAGTGGCAATGACAGACTTACTTGGATATTGTAAGTTTTGCCACCTCTATGGTACCAGGTGCTTTTTCCCACTTATTGGCTATATATTTTGGTACTTTAACAAGCCAAATTCCGCGATCAGAGTTAAACAAATCAAGATCTTTTTCAGTATGATCTAATACATTGATAGACATTTCGCAGGTAGCTATGTTTATCAAAATAACACTACTTATTTTTTTTTTTCAAAAAAATCCACGTACCATATTACTAATTACTAAACCAATCACGGTGTCATTTGACTGTGAATTCAAATGTTTTTTATCATATGTCAATGTATGTACCATAGAGATTTGCTTTTTTTATATTACAGTCATTACAGTGCTTTACGCCCTGCTTTCTTGTACCACGCTAATGTGCACTCTCAGCAACATAGACGGGGTAACGCTACACCAGCGTCGGGTTAGGCGGATTCAATTTCGAAACTTTTTCCCTAGATCGTATATATAGCTAAACGATCTAGGGAGAATGTTCCGTCGAGCGGACAGCACAGCAGTGGAGGGGCATTGCCAAAGACACGCGGAAATTCAGCGATGGGATGTAGTTCTGGCCAGATTTGGGAATTCTCTAGGACCCAATCTATCTGACATGGAAAATCACTAGATCAAAAAAAAAATAGTACCGAAGGTGACGCGCAAGATTCAAATAAGATCCAATAAAATAAGCATCTATCACCCAATAACCAAGGGCGCTTACAATCTGACCGGTTAGATAAATAATTATTAATAAATAACAAAAGCACCCATCACTCAGTGACTTAGGGCGCTTACTAGCAACTCTGTTAAATAAATAATTATTAATAACACAAGTGCACTCTTTTAGATAAA